AGGAAAACCATCATTTGTGGGGATCCTACAAAGAAACACTAAAAATAGACAGTCCTTGTCGCTTGGGGTTTCTCGGGTCCCCTCTCAAGGCATTTGACCCACGACCCTCGAATCTTCGCACAAGCCGTGGGATCAATATCGCCCTTTTGACAATTGCGAGACCAATCGAACCAAGCTCTTGAGTCCCTGTGGGGCAGACTTCTTACACAATGTTACCATAAGTGTCAAATGTGAGGTGAACGACGTTCCACCCTCCGCTACCACAAGCCGACGAGACGTCTTCCTCTCCAAGCCGGTGCATTCCTGAGTGAGCTGCTGGATCTGTGTGGAGACCTGGGACTCGAAGTCGCTCATGCGGTTGGTCATCTTCTTCAACAGCTGGCCGTCACCCTTGGTGCCCTGCACGGAGACGAGAATCACGGCGAACGGAAGCGGCCGAGTGTGAAGACTCATGGTCCCGCAACGTTGCGCTGCAACGCACTGAGGTTCCAACCCCAGTCAGGAACAAACAAACAACCTAGAAGACCCAAGACCCGCCTCTACGGTCCCCTGGCCACAAAACTTGGACTACACAAAGGCAGTGCAAGCGCAATCTCCCCTTGCCACCCCGTGTTGCCCTTGCCTTCGTGTCCGCGGGCTCGCTTCCCATATCTGAGAGAACTCGTGCCTGCCATGCACTTCCAGGCTCAAGTCTTCTAGTGCCTCCAATAGGCCTGATTTGCAACCACTCTGACAAAGTGTCTGGATGCATCTAGACTGTGCGGAGTCCCTCCAAGTGGTTTGATTTCCGTTTGATGTCCTTTAGACTTTGTTGCTGAGCGCCTTTTGTACCCCAAAAGTCGGCTCGCACATCCCCGACCTCAAGTTTTTTGAAGCGCTCGTTCATCTCCTGCGTGAGGACGTCCGACTTCTGGCTCATGGTCGACTGCATCTCTCTGGACTCCTCACATCGCTTGGTCTCCGGAGGACAATACTCATTGGTGAAGGTGGCATAAAATGACCGCAGATTAGGCCTATGTGCCGCCCGAAACACCCAGCACAGTCCTGCGTCACCACTTCTGACGCATACTTCTTCACATCTGCCAGTACTTGGGATAGGTCTGCAGTGGAGGCATCGTGCAGCGTAGAGAACATTGTGTTCGTGTCCTTCAGGACCTCACGAACTTGTTCACACTCTGAAGCTATGTCCGCCAAGCTCATCTTTGTGCAGACTTTGCCCACCAGCGAGAGGATACTCTCGTTGTGCCTGGCAAAGTTGTCGAAACCTAACACTAAACACCGTCAATTGCCCATCAAGTACAGCTGCGAAAGAAATCAGATTTCACCCTGCAGGTGCATTGGGAAATCCCAAGCTGTAAACGGCTCTCCCACTCAACTCCGCTGAAGCAATTTGGAAAGCAAAAGGAACACAACAAGCCTCGCAAAGCTCTTGGGCCAACAAGCTGTCCCCCCCGCCTGTGGCACGCCTGCATGGTCTCAATGAGGAGCTTTTGGTTTGCGAGCATGCTTGGCAGGTCTTCTGCCAGACGCAGGGCGCGGGCGGTGTGACAGTTGGTCTGGTACCTACCTCGGCGCTTCCGAGCCTCTGCTGCGGGCGCGCAGCGGGTCTCTGCATCCAGCGCAAACTGCAGAACCAGAACCGAGGTGTCAGATCAGGAACAGCACAGCGGCAGTTGAAGGCCCTAAGTCAGGCAGGACAGCCCTGTAGCAAAAGACAAACATCAACTTCGAACGCTCGAAGCAGTTGCAGACTATCGTTTGAAGCAGAGCATGTCCAATATTGGGGGAAACACAAGGTTGCAATGCCAGAGCCTGCGGAGGTCAAACACAACGATTGCGATCAATTGGCATGTGCCGCAAGGTTGACCGATTGCAAAGCAGAAGGAAGCGTTGGTGTCGCAGATCAGCGTCATGTCAAACAAGCTGTCGGACAAGTTGGAAAAGCTCTTGCCTAGCATTGAGGGTTTTGGCCAAGGCAACAAAAGACTGTATAAGTTGCTGCTCCGGCTGGCGGACTCGCTTTTTGCATATTGTAACCCCTTTTCTGCCCCTGGAAGTCTGCAAGGATGTGTGCCCTGCCTGGAGTTGATGGATTGATCCTCCCAGGCGTGTCTCCTACACGGAGATAGGACCAAAACGACTCATCGCCTGCCAAAATTCAGCCAAATCTTCAGGCATCCTCTTAGTCACTTCGTCTGCCATTCTGCGAGCGAAAAACCGCCATCATCCTTTTTCTTGGCACGGTGCGCCAGTTTCAGCTTCTTGAGCGACTACTTCATACACTTTTCGCTCGGCAAGGTGCCGTCGAAGCACCGCCGGCTCTGATGTTAACGTGAGGGTTGCCAGGTAAATGCGGTGCAAAGCTTCGTGTTGGCTTCATCAGAACTGTGACCTGCACAGGGAACACGAGATCCATAGCTCCTCATGTACATAGCGGTTACTTAAGTTGAACATCAAATGTGGAGGGTGCCAAAGCCCCAAGGCCTTCAAGAGTACACAGCTCAAATGGATCTAGTCCTCATTTCTCTCAGCATTTCCTGGCTCAACTACTTGGCGCGCCGCTGGCCCTTTGCCAACCCGCACAGCTGCCAAACCAACCTGCACTAGCTGCGGCACTGAAACATCAACAGTTAAGTGAGGTCAAACACAGAATTATAATGCTTGAAAGAGTGTCAGTTTTCAGTCATCCCCACAATCCTTGACATGCTGCGCATCCAGGTCCTACCTTCCTCTGCCTGTCGCAATTCGAATTCGCGACATCACAACAGCGTCAGGATTCCGCACACCTTCCAAAAGGAACCTCAGCCGGACGGCAAGTCCAGGATAATAGAGGCTTCATACAATATTTGTGCCATCCAGGATCTTTCACAATCAAATTTGCCTGCAAAAACGTCCCCACTGGAAGTGAATGCCACTTTGTTCCGAGGCACGTGTTCCTGCCGCCGTCCATGCCCATCACGGTCACGGCCACGGTCTTGTCGAGGCCATAAAGGGCATCTTGCGTGCGGCTGTCGAGGCCGTTCCTGAGCACGGCACGTGCTCTCCATGTCTCAAACTCTCCAAAGATGCCCGCTTCTCTTTGGAAGGTTTCTGAGCCTAAGACATGCCACTAGTGCCATGGCAGAACAACAGCGTCATCCATCAATAGCTGATCGCAGCACAAGGCCAATTGGGCTGCTCTTGCACGGGTTTCTTTGCCTCAACCCCATCTCTGAACATGGCAGGATTCTTCCGGATGAACTCTTCAAGATCAGCCCGCCAGCCGCTCCTTTCGCTCTTCCGTCTTCTTCCCCGGCTCCGGTCGCGCCTTGCAAACTAGTGGTTCAAGCGACGCACGCAGATCGAACAAAAGCAATGCCCGGGCTTCAGCTCTTGCATTCTATGCTGGCAAATACATCGCAGCCGCACTCGCCTTCCATTGACATGTCTAAATTCCCGCTCCGCATGGTGAGCTGTCCTGAATCCAACCCCTTGGGAAAAAAGAGGAAGCCCTTGGGCAGTCCCTGAGGCCCTGGTGTCCTTAGAATAAGCCATAGAGGGGTGCCCTCTCGCCTGCGATCTCGGTTCCGGCCCCGGTCCCGGCCCCGCCGCCGGTCCCGGTCTCGGCCCCGCCGCCGGTCCCGGCTGCGGCTCCGGCTCTCGGAGTAGTCACTGTAGTACCTCGGTGCAGGCGCCGGGATTGGCTCCGAATCGACATGCTTCCTTGGAAACAGGTCCAAATTGGCACTTGGCTTGTCAGGTCAGCGTGAGTCCAACCTAAGGGGATGGCAGAATCTAACCCGACGATATACTAAAGGGGCAACGCAAGGCTGCAAGAAAACCTGAAACGGATCAGCCACCTACAACAATGAACCTCCTTGGCACTGCAAAAGACAACCAAAACCAGATAGGCAGACTGCGACCAGGAAGAGGCTTTAGAGAGATGCACGAAGGTCAGAAGGATTCCAAAGGTCTTAAATGACGCACCCGTGTTTCTGCTCGAGCACAATGGCACTAAACGCTATTCATGCTGTCCCTCACAAGGGAGGCAGCATCTGTTGTCGCCCATGCAGTTCGCGAAGAATCCGTCTCAGTTTGCATACAGCATCGCTCCCCCCATCAATATCAAATACTGTCTTTGAGTCACAGGAAGGAGAGGTCATGGCTTTTTGTTGATGGTCTTCAAGAGTTGCTAATAGTAACCCTTGGGCTGCAGTCCCCCAGCTGCTCAAGCAAATGACAAGGCCTGATTGCAAGCCCATGCGCGAAGACAGCCAGGGCACTCGTATGAGTAATCGTCTCTGCTATCCGATCTACCCCTGTCACGGTCACGCCCCATGGTCCACTTCCCGGGCCAAAAGGCCACCGGGGTCACGGGGCGAGCCCTGAGCCAAAATCGACCTCCGGGTTGGACTCGGCTACGCTACTCTGCGGCCCCCGCAAATAAAAGTGCAGCTGTCCCGAACCCGAAGATTGACCTGAAATCGCTCTAGCACTTGCAGGTCACATGGGCACCATGCTACTGCCGTGCCATGAAGGTGCGCGGGGCCATCCCTTGAATTCAAACTGAAGCATGCTCCAAATCCTGGCCCGGAAGCGTTGCGGCTATCTTGGCCCCTTTCTTGCACCCGTCCTTCTTGGCAACGCTCTGTTTGCTTCCATGGCAGCGAAGGAGAATCAGGGCCGAGCAAAGGACACCTTGATCTTGCACAACCTTGCAGCCCATTGCAGTCTGATCCAACAATATATCCCAGGCTTTGCTCAACTTGTGTTACGCCCAAAACGGTTCATGGATCCTCCGGAAGCTTTGAATGCTTTGACTACAATTGGTTGAGCTAATTTCAGCCGAGCAAAAAGGCTATGAGCGATGCATCACCCATTCTACACATCCGTGGAATGTCTGCAGCGAGCCTTTGTGCAGTGCTTTGGAGTCAATCAAGAAGTCAACAGGCAAAACCAAAGTACCCCGTGCGGAAAAGCCAGTCCATACCCTCCCATGCCAACTCGCAAAGGGGCGCGACCTTGGACTTCTCCTCCACCGTGCAAACATCCAGATTTGGCATGTCCTGAGGGCATGCGAAACGGGGCGGCAGGCCGATTCAGCGGAAAGGTCAACTTTCCCATCTGGCAGCTCTGGATATGGACAGGGGATCAGCTTTTGGGAACTGATGGAAGTCAGACACAATAGGTGTTGGATTGATTCGCCTGCACAACTGACGCAAACAGCTGGTGTCTGACGAGCAACACATTCGTCCATGATGCGCTACAAAGCTAAAGGCATGCGCCCGACAACAACTACAATTAATATGCCCTGAGAATCCGCGGAAGGGACAACTGTCTCGTATGATGCTTGTACTCTGCATGTCTCCTTTGTTGGTTGCGGAACCTCGCAATAACGCTTGCTCGATGCATTTCTTGTAAAAATAGTATGATGTTCTAGCTTGGTCACAGAACCTCACGCTACGGGCCGGAGACGTTTCTTTTGGAATATGCCAATACGTGTTGCTGCTCATGGAACCTAGCTCTGTTGCAATATCTGTTACCTGTCACAGATTTCTGCATGCTCCAGAAGTGATGCGGCGTCATTAAAGGCGCACTTGCATGCCTGAGGCTCAACAAAGGCAGCCAGAGCCTTCAAACTGACTTCTTGAGACTGGCCAAATACTGCTGGAGCCACATGATGTATTCTGCTGCTCCGAAAATGCGGCTTCCCACCGTTCTGGCTCGCCTCAAGGCTTAGCTTGTGCTGAAAGCATCGAGTTTTGTCCCTTTCGAAACGGCTCTGAAGGCTCTCAAGTAGGCTAACCAAAGACAAGAGCCCCCACCAAATGCTGGGGCCCAATCGCCAGTGAGACATTTGCGAATGGAACAGCTTCACACCTTTCCAATGGCACTAAGGCTGCGTCGCCAGCCAATGCTTCCACCCGGCGCCGCGAGAAAACGAAGACCTTCAGGTCAGGAGAGCCATACCACTCTCTTGAAAGCTGGCAGCCTCTTCTTTGAGAAAGCCTTGCTTGGACCCAGGTACGTCCGCAAGACTTTGCCTCTGGGGCTCTGGCCGTGGCAGGTAGCTTGGCGTCCGAGTCCAAGGCCCTTCAAGGGCAACCAAATAGCTATCTGGATGCTCAACCGCAAGAGCCAAATACATGGGTGCTCGAGGCTGCAACCAGCCCCGATGCACATGCACGTCAATTCATGAAGCATCAAGGTTGGTTCCGATGCCACAGCTGACCAAGCCAGCCGCCCCGTCCTCAGCAGCGCCTGCAGCCGATGAGTCTCCGTCCGCTCCCGGGACCTCCGGCGAAAACCATCGGCAACTCTTCCCTCTGCTTCCAGCCATGGTCTTGGCTCTGGAAACTCTGAGTCGCCAGACTCGCGGGAAGGTGGCGGAGGGGCTGCCGACGACTTCGGTCGCTCTGGGCGTGGGCTCAAGCCAGGTGAAGGTGCAAAGCAGCCTGGGGCCCCGCACGCTTGTCCGTGCTGCTGCTGCTGTTACCGTTTTCCTGGCAGGCAGGTTGGGCACGTTTGATCTGGATAGCAACCGCAATAGCCAGTTGAAGGGAAGCAACGTTGGCACAAAGAGCAAACCCAACCACCCAGTCTGGCCATCGGGCCGTTGGGCCTTCTCCTTCACCGGCACCTGTCTCCGAGGCTTGAGGCTTTCCAGTCTCAAAGACTCTCCAATGGATGAATGTGTGACAGACTGCTCAGTGGCTCACACATTCGCATCAGGGCATACCCCAATTCTCAAAAAGGTATTTTGCAAAGAAAGCTTGCTCTTTGACCCCAAGCAAATGAATTAAGCTTGATGGAGTCATGGCACACTCATAGACCTGCCCCGGGCGCCTCAAAGTCAACTGTCACTGGCAGTTCGGCCTGCCAAGGGCTGCTTTGGGGAAATTGGGTCCATGCCCATTGCCAAGAATCCGCACCCCCTCATGTTCCTGGGAGACAAATAAATCCAAGAAGGAGGCCGAAGGCATTGAGGTCTCTGCCCGCCTGCTTGGTGAGCTGTTGCACGTCATCCAAACTCAACCCCTGCACGGTCTCGCCTGCCACCGCTGACACCTGGGTCATCCAGACCGCTCTGGGAACCCACGAGTGGTCCAGCCGGGCTCCCGAGCGATCCAGCCAGGCTTGACTCCCAGCCGGGCAGCTGGCTTCGAAGGATCGTTGTGGTTCACCTGACTGGTTGCTGTGTGAGTGTCTTCCGTGCAATGCAAGAGGTGCACCCAAGATCGTGAAGGGGGCAATCTCTTAACCAAGGCTGAGCCGCTGATTTTCAGGCCCAAGTCACAATTTGGGAGTCTCTCTTGCGAATGAGTCACGAACTGGCGCTTCCGGGAGGGCCAGCTTTGAGCTATGCGATTATTTGTTTCATGGATTTCCTTCTTTCGTCCTTCCTCCCTTTTATTCGTGCTTTCTTTCTTTCTGTCTTCCTTTGTCTCTTTCTGTCTTGCTTTTTTGCTTCCTTGCTTTCGTTCAGGGCTGTCTTGCTTCTGTGGTTTTCGTGGCTTTTTGCTTGCTTGTTTTGAAGCTGTTCGTGGTAGGTAGGCTAGGAGAAAATAATAGTGCAGGAACATGTGCACAGGGTGACACAACCGCATGCAGAATTTCCATGCGTGCCCAATTTCCACACCAAGAGACACCTCGCGTACACAGGCACCACTCTGACCCCGGCGGTGCGTGCACATGCGTGCACAGGCCCCAATGGCAAACAAGGGAGCCGCAATAATAGGTCTTAGAGATTCTGAAAAAGTCCACAACCGCATTCGGAATGCTGGGCTTGGAGAGCCAAGCCTTCGAAACCTTGATACCGCTGGCCTTGTCTACCACATAGCCCTCGACACCTGCATCAATGCGATATGGCGCAAATTCCATAAATATTTGAATTGGGCTTGCAGCTCTTCACCGGCACTACAGCCACTGCACCCTGCAAGCTGGCCTCGCCTGGCCCTTCTCAAAACAAAGATGTTGGACATGTTCTGTATCAAACGGCCACAGAGTAAGTTGGGCCTCGGAAAAGAAACACTGAAGTTTCTCAAACCTGCGCCTGCGGCCTTGATCCCAACTCTGAGACGCCCCACACGGAACCAAGCCACGCCTTCCTTGAGCGGAGTCATCCCGAAGGGCCGATTCTCGAAGGTCACGGAGACCCGTCGGTTCGGCTTCGGCGCCTGCTTCACCTATCCGCGCTCGCGAACCTCCAACCTTTCAGGGGGGATGAAACCAAATCTCAAGAAAGGTAAACCTGGCTGTTTTTGTTTGCAAGCCTCGCCTTCTCGTTTTGCAGGTCCCTGGCTCTCTGAAAGGCCTCTGGATGAAACCTTGGAACGCGTAGACAGTGCTACAGGCGGCACCACAACTCCCGACACGACGAAACCTGCCGCGCTGGCACCAAGCCTAGGCCGAAGTGTAGCGCCCTCTTTTTAACGTCACGCAGAGAGGAAGTGATAGTGAAAAGCCAAGGACCCCGTGAGTTCTTCTCGGCTCACCCTCAGGACAGGTTAAAAATAGCTGCAGCATGGTGACATGGAGAGCAGTGGCGCAGTTCAAACCCTGGGCCGAGCTGCTCTTAGTGGGATTGCCCCTTCAAAATCCAGAGGTCCAAGGCTCATTTGGTTCCTCGAAAATCCGGCACAAGGCCAGCGCAGCCGTCACCAAAAGAAAATTACACCAAGACTCTGCCTCAGCAATCCTGCACCCGAAATATTTTTGCAACTGGCACACCGGCCCCGCTTGCACCAAGCTGTTGGCCGGGAGAACATCCAAGCCATGTTGCCATCATTTCGCTCAAGCAGAGCAACCAGAGCAGGCAACAGGCAAGGGCGTGGCGTGCACTCTGTGGCACGCATGCTGGGCTGGGATGCTGCCCAGCTGCTGTCTTTCACGCCGTGAGTCAACAGTTGATCAAACGGAAAGGCGAACTCCCAGTTCAGTTGATTGAATACATTGGGCAGCGCTTTGGTGGCTCTGGCCTCATATCCCAGCTGCAGCTAGCCAAGCGCAGCCAAGGCTTCTCCAAAGGCAGGCGCCGTGCAAATCACGTCGCTGTGGGCAATGTCCTCATCAGAAAGGATGCAAGAGTCAACTCATCACAAAAAGCATCCACTTCAGGAAAAAACGGTACGTGTTGCACGTGTGGGCCTGTGCACGCATGTACGCGCGGACGTGTGCACGCGTGCGTGCGCATGGATGGACGAGGGTTCGGTTGATTGACACCAGCGTTGCACCGTATGCGCCATGTGTGCTGTGTGCTCTTTCACTATTTATGTTTCCGCCCGCCTGCTCTGAGGAAAAAAAAGAGATTTGGCCCCTGTGGCTCCAAGTCTCCGAAGGGATGGACGGGCGGGGGGACGGATGGAAGCACGGCCGGAAAGAGGGAGGGAGGGGAGGGGAGGGGAGGGGGGGGGGGGGGGGGGAGGGGAGGGAAGGGAGGGAGGGAGGGGGGGAGGAGGACGCGCACATATTTACAGGCTTGCCCAGACCTCGGGTTTTGGGCCAGACTGGGGATGAAAAACGCCTTGAGACTCTGAGCTGAAGTGAACTCCATGCAATTCCAACCAAGCAGAAATTCGGCTCAATGTTGAAAAGGAGCTCTTATTTAAACAGCTCGAAAGCACATTGGCGTGCACGAAGTGCACTTAAAGTCACATCGGAGTATGCAAAGTGCACTTTGGAAGCTCCAGCTCGAAAAGCACAGCTTTTCAGCACAAGAGTAGTACACCAAGCATGCATTGGCAGCGCTTCGTCAACGTGCCTGTAACAGCTCTACTATTGGGTTTAGTCATTCATCTATTTTTGTCTGGCAGGGAATCAACATGGGGAACGGAACTCCTACTTGCAACTGACATCAGACTCAAATAGAAAAAATGCTTCATGGTCTTGCGCAGTTGCACTTACTGTCTCTGAAATTTTCTGTGCATAATTCCATACACATTATCATTAAGTTGACTTAAATCAAATTTGCAAAGCAACTATCTCAGTTGTGCGTTGCTTGCCTGATTTGATTAAACCATTGTCAATAACAACTATTGAAATTCCAATATACAAGGATATTCAATTTCAGATGCTTTCGAGTTCAAGCCAAATTCAACTTTAACCGGTTGCAGTTTCTCATGCATGTCAAATGCAATTGGAGAACACAGCTATTATCATGGCCAGTTGAAACTGGAATCAAGCTCAATTTCAAAAAGGGTTGTTGTCCTTGTCCTTCTCCAACTCCATGTGGTTTTAACCAAGCAAGAACTGAGCCAGCCAATAACAGAAACATGTTCTCAAACATTCACCATATTGTGGGCACAAAATGCCGTAAAACGTGGTGCTTGTCTGCATTTGCTCAGATCGTGTTGGCCCGGATCGAAGGTCCTATAAATATGTTTGGAACATCCTCAATCCTGGCCTGCCAAAAGCTTGACCTTTGTTTCTACACTCTGTAAGGTTTTCCCACCTGCATTGAAGATTGAAGATCTCCTAAATGTTGTGTCTTCGGAATCCTCTATCCTGGCCAATCCCCGAAAAGCTGTAAGTTTTCCAAAGACATGTTTCTCCCGCTGGCAAAATGCAGGTGGTGCACCTCCACACTTTGATTCTTGGAACGTGCACTCCTTGTCTGGCTATTTGGATTCCTGGATTCTTCAAATCCATACTTAGGGAAATCAAGGATGTGCTAGCACATCGACTCTTCTGGGATTCTTCAATTTTTAATCGTCAATCTTCAATCCAGGACGTGCTAGCACGTGCTAGCACATCCTGAATTTCATTAAGTTCTGATGCTAGAAATTAAGTCTAAAAAAGGAGTGCATTGTTGGTGCATCATTTTTGGAAGCTGGAATTTCCCTCTCTGTCTGTCTCTGTCTGTCTCTTTCTCTCTCTCTCTCTCTCTCTCTCTGTCTTTCTGTCTTTCTGTCTTTCTGTCTTTCTGTCTTTCTGTCTTTCTGTCTTTCTGTCTTTCTGTCTTTCTGTCTGTCTCTGTCTGTCTGCATACTTGCATGCATGCGTGCAAGCATGTGCAAGTATATGCATATGTGTAAGTATGTGTATCTATGTGTGTATATGTACATGTGTGCAAGTGCAAATACATTGATCGAGACGAAAGTGCCAATCGACAAAAGTTGCGGACAGCCAATGAGACCAAGGACTTAGCTTGCCCTTGGAAGCCCAAACCGCTCCTTGCCCAGCGCGAGCAAAGACACCGCGGAGGCCGCCCCATCCATCACCAGCGGCGGCGGCATGTCCATGCCAGACAGCTCCTGCCGGCAGAAAATATTCCGTGGTTCTTGCGGAGCCCACAGCAAAAGCAAACGTGCATGCGTGTTCACATTAGACTTTGCCTGGTGCCCTTTTTAGTGTTCATGAGCTTGGATTCTTCTCGTTGTAATTTTCGCATTGGTTTGCTTGCCCTGCCGAGCGCGGCCCAGGGCCCTCCGGCAACAAATGGCTCAGTTCTGATCTGATTGCATGCCAAAAGTCAGCTTCCAGCAGTGTCCGCTTTTTCGATGTGTGTGTGTGTGTTAGCAGTTACAATCGCCGCATGCAACACTCTAGGGTCACCTTATGGCAAAGAGGTAGCATCAAGTCGTGTGAGATAGCGTAAGCCGCGCTCCCGCAAATGGGAATCCTGTGATGGACTAAATCAATGACTCTTAGCCAGTACCTCCCAAGACCCATGACTCAAAGGGCCTTCCTGGCAGCATGCAGCCTCTAAGCATGCATTTCTTCATTTAAGACGGTCTTGCCAAGCATTGAGCAAGTGTGCTGCTCGCAAGACTGGGAAGACACAGCTCCTGATGAGAATACGATCAACTTGGCCAGCTAACATTCTGTGTGGCATTGGACCGAAGCCTCTCTTCAGGGATTTATGGCCAGCAATTTCAGCCACACACCACAACAGGCATGACTACCACTAATAAGACAAATGTCTGCGCCAGACAACATAAGTTCAAGGCCTCGCACATGTGCTACTCTTGCGCGAAAGCGGCACTTCCCTTTTTTGTTTGCATTCTTGTGACATGTAGTCTTACGGAGCTTGAAAGTGCTGGAGGCTCCTTGCTGGCCTTGTGGCCAGCCTTCACTCCAAGTATCTACTTGGTGCGGTCCAGAGGGCATCAAAAGGGAATTAATGCAGGCAGCATATATACAAATTGCCGTCCCTGCTAGGCTTGCTGATAGAAAAAGACTAAGCCTCGGCAGCTTCTTCCAAGAGTGGCTGTTGCATCGATGACTGCACTCGGGTCACCATGACGTACAAAGCAGCAGCGGGCAGCGCAGCACTGAGCAATACAAAGGGCCACATACGATTCCACCAGTGGGAATTGGCACCGTCCTTGGAGTTGTGCCCCTTGACCTCGTGGGAATGCTCATCTGACATGAGCTCGATGGCGTTGGACGGGCGAAATGGCCACAGCCGATCCCACCAGTGCGCTGGCTGTGAGTCGCCCTTCGCGGCGTCCGACTTGTGGTTCTCGTGTTTGCCATGCCGGTGATCCTCCTCGTTCTTCTCCTCCAGCTCGAAGGGCCACAAGTGGTCCCACCAATGACCACTTGGAGCATGGGAGGGGTGGGAGGTGTGGTGCACATGATGGTCACCGTGTCTATCAGCCTCAGCTTCCAAGGAGAAGGGCCAGAAATGGTGCCACCAACTTGAGTCTGCCTTCGAAGGCTGTGCCTCACGCTGATGCTGCTTCGATGCCCCGTGGTGTGCCTCGTGCTCCGCGTGCTCCGCGTGCTCTGAGTGCTGCGCGTGCTCCGCGTGCTCCGGAAGCATCAAGGGCTCCCTCACAAGGTCTTGGCAGGCAGCAAGGGCCACCAGGGGCACCAACACCCAGGCCATTGCGAGGGGAAAGACGGGCACAGCTGAGCTTGCCTGCTTAAGCTGAGCTCAAATACGAGGGAGCAAATATGCAGACACGAGGCTTAAGCAGGAACTTCCACCGCAAGATTACACGGAAAGGCTGTGGCGGTGTTGCCCCGTGATGGGTCCATGGTTGTAGTGCTTTTCCCCCCACTGGCTATCAAATGCGTTTGCTCAACTGTGCGGCCATTGAAGCCATCTTGGCGCAAGGACCACACCACCTTTGCTCGCCATGCTCAGCAGACAGGAAATATCACACAAACTGTTGTCTGCAAGCATCGAGTTTACTTGATGTGGTCTCCGGAACTGCCCTCGTGACTGAACGGTATCTCGATGCGCTTTGCTTCTTTTCCGAAACACTAACCGTTTCAACTGTCGAAAAGCCCATCCCGGGCTCCTTCACCTTCTCACGCAGGAGAGATGCAGAGACTGCCGCCTGGCAGGGCTCGCGCCGGCTTGCGCCAAAGCGACTCA